CGGTCTTCTGCCCTCTGCGCAACCCTCTCGGTCCTCTTCCTCGCACTCGCAGGGGGTGCGAGAGGAGGCAAGCGCGACATAGCCCACTTTTTCAGATGTCGCGTTAAACAAATAAAAAAGCGTGGCAATCCGCGATGTGCCGCGAGCGACTCTTGATCCTTTTAGGGGCCAATATAATGGCGCTTCACACAGAGTGTGTCCGCGCGGCCGCGCCCTGCATGACGGCCGCACCTGTTGACACGCATGCGCTCTCTCTCTCTCTCTCTCTCTCTCTCTCTCTCTCTCTCTCTCTCTCTCTCTCTCTCTCTCTCTCGATGTGCGCTGAGTGCGCTCCATGTCGCCACTTGGGTCGCTCCGCCAATTCGTTTCCATGTTTGCGAGGCCGACGAATCGTCCGGCAATGAAAGGCCGTCGGGCAATCGGCAGAAACGGCTGCGGTTTTGAGCGTGTGTGTGTGTGTGTAGGTGTGAATGTGTGTGTGTGTGCAGGTATGTAGGTGTGTGTGTGTAGGTGTGTAGGTGTGAATGTGTATGGGTGTGGTGTGTGTAGATGTGTAGGTATGTGTGTGTGTCTGTCTGTCTCTGTCTCTCTCTCTCTCTCTCTCCTCTCTCTCTCTCTCTCTCTCTCTCTCTCTCCTCTCTCTCTCTCTCTCTCTCTCCCCCTCTGTGTGTGTGTGTGTGTGTGTGTGGTGTGTGTGTGTGTGTGTGTGTGTGTGTGTGTGTGGCACTGAGGAACGGGGCCATCGAAACCGCAAAAACCGCGGAATCGACTTTCGATTCACAGACTTTGGGTCACGCGAACCGGGAAGCCAAACTACTATTTGTTTTCCAGCCACCGCATAGGACTGTCGGTTTAGCCTAGGACCGCAAATTTCGGAAGAAACGAATCCTCTTTCAGACTCTGGGAAACCATGTGACATGTTACAAGAGAGGAGAGAGAGAGAGAGAGAGAGAGAGAGAGAGAGAGAGAGAGAGAGGAGAAACCAATGCGAATCATCGCCTGTTTCATTTCTTGCTGTATTTTGGGACCTGCACACAGGTATTTCGCCTACTGCTGCGCTGTTTCGCAAAATAATATCCGTTCAGTAAGTCGGAGTAGTCTAGCCGAACTGCAGGGCACCCCGACCGCTTTGTAATGAGCTCCGTACATTTTTAATTGGGCCGGTCCCGTGTTGCAGACTCCGGTCAGACACCTTTGCCCCTCCCGATCCCCGTTGTAGCTCTCTCCGTACACTGTAAGAAAAGTTCACAGAAAACAGCGCGCTGCTATGGGCTTTTGTGGGAAGCACTCTGTATTTTTAAGAGCGGGTTTTCTGTCCAAAGTACGGTGTGGAAAGTGAGCCTTTTTCAACATATTCTTCGGATGCAGTCGAGACCAGTTGTCGCCTCTCTCTCTCTCTCTCTCTCTCTCTCTCTCTCTCTCTCTCTCTCTCTCTCTCTTTCTCTCTCCTCTCTCTCTCTCTCTCTCTCTCTCTCTTTCTCTTCTCTCTCTCTCTCTCTCTCTCTCTCTCTCTCTCTCTCTCTCTCTCTCTCTCTCTCTCTCTCTCTCTCTCCCTCTCTCTCTCTCTCCCGGTCTGTCCCACTTCTGTCCTCTTCTTTCCACTTTCGTTCTGCCTCCCTTCATCTCACGCCCGTTCCACTGCGGTCCGACTGACCTAATTTCTGCCCGGCCAAGCTAACTCAACATTAGGCGGGATTTTAGTGGATTAGTTGGCTTCTCCGCCGCGCCACTTTTAAAACCATCACACAATATTATTATTTTAATTTTTTTAAGAATATGAGCGTATGCTTTATTTCTTCCTCCTACCCTACCTTTTTAATTCATTGGCTGTACCACTATCGCTTACAATACTCATTATAAATGACCTGTTTGTATTTTTTAAAAAAATCAACTTTCCGGGTTTTTGTTTTTTAAGAAAAGATTTGAAGATCCAATTTTGTTTTCTTGGACCAAGAAAACATCTCGCGTGTCACGACTTTCTTTCCTAAAAACTCCAAGAAAATATTGAAAAAATCAAGAAACAATTTTTTTGGGGCGTTTGTGACAATTATTGCGAGCCGTGAAATTGGTTTCCCTCGGCAATTCCTTTCCTCTGGCTCGATTTGGCTAGGCGGCTCGCCACGCACAGTGGGCCAGAAGACCGGTGGAGGCGGCCAAAACTGTAGACGCGCTTTGAGCTCCAGAGTCGCTAAATGGGACTCGAACCGAACGTGTGACCCCACCAATGGATTGCTCTCCGGACGAGGAATCCATTGGTGGGGTCACACGTTCGGTTCGAGTCCCATTTAGCGATTCTGGAGCTCAAAACGCGTCTAGAGTTTTGGCCGCCTCCACCAGTCTTCTGGCCCACTGTGCGGCCCCGCGGCCCTTGGATGAATTATAGACTGGCCTGCACTCCACTCGGCGCCGCCGGCTCAGCCAGCCCGGCAGCCCCGCCCGGAAATATGATTAATCTGCAACAATAACCTTCGAAGGCTGATAATGGAATGCTAATGAATAATGACTTGCTGCCCATTCATCGCGGGACTGCACCGCCAACTTAGCGCTACCAACAGTACCAACACTACCACTGCCAACGTAGCACCACGAACAGTACTAATACTCTAGACGTGTTTTGAGCTCCAGAGTCGCAAACACAAACCGAGCGTGTGACCCCACCAAGGATTGCTCTCCGAACGAGGAATCCATTGGTGGGGTCACACGTTCGATTCGAGTCCTGTTCAGCGATTCTGACCGCCTCCACCGGCCTTCTGGCCCACCGTGCGACACAAATGCCTACGCCACAGCTAAAACTACCAAACTCTAGAACGCACCATTTCTACCAACACTGCCGTCGTAAACTAAACCGCGGTGCTTTTGCGACCACTGCCACTGCGCAACACAGCCGAGAGGGACGGCGGAGCAGCGGCTTTCGGCCGGGCCTTCAGACTGACTCCGAGAGTCGTTCTCGTCGCTCTGTCTCTTTCGCACCTTTGCGGGACGCCCCGTGAGTGCGAGAGAGACAGAGCGACGAACGCGACTCTCAGTCTGCTGGGCCGGGCGCCCCACAGTGGGCCAGAAGACCGGTAGAGGCGGACAAAACTCTAGACGCGTTTTGAGCTCCAGAGCCGCGAAGCTGGACTCGAAGCGAACGTGTGACCCCACCAATGGATTCCTCGTTCGGAGAGCAATCCATTGGTGGTGTCACACGTTCGTTTCGAGTCCCATTTAGCGACTCTGGAGCTCAAAACGCGTCTAGAGTTTTGTCCGCCTCCACCGGTCTTCTGGCCCACTGTGCGGTGCAGCGCCGACCCTATCGGGAACCATGCCAAATTGGTGTCTTCCCCGGGTCGACTTGGCTCGGAAAGTCTTAAAACAAGGGTGGTTGCCGGAGGGTGGGCTGGGATCGACGTTACGGCAAAGGTGCCCTGCGAAGAAACTGGAGGTGCGACCGCTATCGAAGTGAGAGAGAAAAATGGGGCATTTGCGAGCGGGTCCGGCGCAGAGATAGGCAAAATTATTGGTCATCTTGAACTGCTGGCGCAGGATCCCGTGAGATTGATACGAATCTAAAAATGCATCGACCAGTTGGAATCTATGCGCCGTGCGTTTGCCTAAAGCATGAAAAAGTTAGTTTGGGAAATGATTATGTGGGGGAGGGGTGGGTAGAAAACTCCACAAAAAGGTGATTACTTGGACTGCTTGAGACAAGATAAGTCTCTAGCCGGAAGCGAGGGAACTTCATTGTCACCAGAGTGTCCTCTAGCGGCGAAAACTTCATTTTTAGTTGGTGGGCACAGTGGGCCAGAAGACCGGTGGAGGCGGCCAAAACTTAAGACGCGTTTTGATCTCAAGAGTCGCTAAACAGGACTTGAACCTAGCACGTGACCCCACCAATGGATTCCTCGTTCGGAGAGCAACCCATTGGTGGGGTCACCTGTTCATTTCGTGTTCCATTTAGCGACTCTTGAGCTCAAAACGCTTCTAGAGTTTTGGCCGCCTCCACCGGTCTTCTGGCCCACTGCGTGCCGTGCGTGCCCGTGGAATCGCATGGTTTGACAAGACCGCGAAACATGTGCGTTAGGGACCAGCAAGGGCGAGCTAGCCGCGCGAGTGAAAGTGGACTTGGTGTAAAGTGGAGGCGAAAGTGGTCTGGGGGCGAGGGGGTGGCCTGGCCGCCTAGCCTCGCCGCCTAGCCTCGCCACAGGGCCTGCTCGAATGGCCCGAGTCTGCCAAGAGAGGCTGGGAAGGGCCGGCACGTCTTTGAAAGAGTAGGAGGAGCAGGAGGACAACCAAGACGTGTTTTGATTCTTCTGCCACTGTTAAAAATACATTCACTCGTACTAATTTACGTACAAAGCACGCCGATTACATTTTACGCAGATGCACAGTGGGCCAGGAGACCGGTGGAGGCGGTCAAAACCCCGGACCGTTTTGAGCTCCAGAGTCGCTAAATGGGACTCGAGCCGAACGTGTGGCCCCACGAATGGATTGCTCGCCGAGCGAGGAATCCATTGGTGGGGTCACACGCTCAGTTTGAGTCGTATTTAGCCACTCGAGCGCAAAATGCGTCTAGATTTTGGCCGCCTCCACCGGTCTTCTGGCCTACGTCAGCCTGCGGTGACGAGGGTAGGCAACACGCTGCACTTGTTTGTCTCGCGGGCTGGCCCAGCCTCGCATTACCATTACCATTAAGGCACTGGCAAAACTGAATCGTAGTTGTATGCTTCATTCAAGCATACAACTTCGCTTGAAGACTTTACGCTTGAAGTCAAGCGTAGAGAAGAAATTCCATCATGCATTTGGATAGGCGGAAGAGAGGCGAAATGGAGAACTACGCTTGAAGCCGAGCGTAGTTCTACTGCGCTTGAAGAAAGGCGTAAAAGTACGCTTCAGTTCTACCAGTGGGGCTAGACCACACATGATCGTATGCTCGCAGGCGCTCACTTCAAAACCAATCAACATTTTTCCCCCTTGCTACTAGTTACTAAACCCGCGACGCCTGTCTCTCTCTGTTTCAGAACTCGACCTGTACCCAGTGGAGGCCCTCACGACGTGCAACCACGCCCTAGCAGTGTGCAACTCAGAGCCCAAGTGCATCGCCCTGTTCGACCAGTTCAAGGCCGACTGTAAAGTGAGGGACAAGAAATGCCGCATGGACAGCCGGTATGTTCCAATTCATTTTATACAGTTTTTTTAATGGTGACGACAGTGTGTCAGATGGAGGACAGGGGTAGTGGTCAGTCACAGTGGGCCAGGAGACCGGTGGACGCGTGCAGAGCTCCAGAGTCGGTTAGCAGGGCTCAAACTGAACGTGTGACCCCACCAATGGAGTCCTCGTTCGGAGAGCAATCCATTGGTGGGGTCACACGTTCAGTTCGACGCCCATTTAGCGACTCTGGAGCTGCTCAAAACGCGTCCAGAATTTTGACTGCCGCCACCGGTCTTCTGGCCCACTGTGAGAGTGGGGCAGAGAGGCAGAGATCGAAGGAGAGGGTAGAACGGAAATGTGTCCTCGCTCGGGGCCTGGCCATTCCGAATAAGTGGCGTGCAGTTCGGTGGCGTGGCGTGGCGTCGTAGCCTGTAAGGCATTTGACGCGTCACCGCCGGGGGCTTTGGCTCGGACTGTACCCGAGGGGCGGCTCTGCAGCCAACGCCAGCTGGGGCGTACAGTGTACTGCACAGGGGCGGTGATGCAGACGCGGCCCCACATGCCGATGCGTTGGAAAACCATTTTCAAGCCGTTTTGGTGGTGACCTTCTCACCGCTCCGGCGCACAGTGGGCCAGAAGACCGGTGGAGGCGGTCAAAAATCCCGGACGCGTTTTTGAATTCCAGAATCGCTAAATAGAACTCGAACCGAGCGTGTGACCCCACCAATGGATTCCTCGTTCGGAGAGCAATCCACTGGTGGGGTCACACGTTCGGTTCGAGTCCCATTTAGCGACTCTGGAGCTCAAAACGCGTCCGGCACTTTTACCGCCTGTACCGGTCTTCTAGCCCACTGTGCACTGGCGGCCTCACGGCTAAAGTACCGCCTGGGATTCCCAGGCGCATCATGGGGAATAGGGCCTATTTTCCAGGCACCGCCTGGGAATCCCAGGCGGTACTTTTGCCGTGCTCGGCTGTCAAAATTAGTCCCGGGATAGGGCAGTCGCCACGGCGCTTCCACACTCGTCACGTGACACATGCATGATTCAGACGCGGCCGTCTAGACGTCAGCCGTCGCCGCGACACTTCTCGGCACATCTCCTCGTTCCACGAGCCTCCTTGACCTACTTGTATCAACCGGCCGTCACCAAACTATACATAGCGCCCTTGGTCGAAGATTCTGCGCCGCAAATCCTCAAGAAAAGGCAAAAAAGTTTGATTTATTAAAAAAATGCAGAAATAGAGTGTAAAATGTTGTTTTTACAACTCTCTACGTGTTTGGAAGACAGTGTGATGTGCTATAATCATTCCTTATCATTGCTCTGAGTTGAAATGAAATTATTTTACCTCTGTCGTATGATGTTAGTTTTTCACCCAGAAAAGTGGTTTCTTTTAATTCAATTTGCATTGGAAGGCGAAAAAATCTTGGCTCAAGCAAAAAAAATTTATGCAAGAAAAAAAAAGTTTGGATCAAGAAAAAGTCTCTTAAAAATAAAACTAATGAAAGGTTTTTTGGTTTTTAGTAGATCCAAGAAGTCAGTTTTTTTTGTTTTAGTTGTTGGTAATGATTGTTGGAAGAGAAGTCGGTGCGAGACTCGCCAATCAATCCCCGGACTGAGTCCGGCCGGAAGGATAACAGAGTAGGACGGGCGGCGCGGTAAAAGTGCCAATGGAATGGCTGCCCCTCGCCTGGCGCGCCTCGCTCGCCTCGCTCGCCCCGGCCGACTTGGTCAGTGTCCCTCCCCCTGCCCCATAAACGCCACTCACAGTTTGCAATGAGATTACCGAGACGGCAGTGCCGTGGCGGTGGCGGTGCGTCCGGTCGGGGCGGTCCCCGGGCCTCGCCGCGCTCGAGCGTCGGCAGCATGGAGAGCGTTGCCAGTATTGACAGCGGTGGCAGCATTGACTGCAGCATTGACTGCAGCCTTGGCAGCAATATTGACACTCCCGCGAGGCACTCCAGATCTCGTGCCGGTGTTGCTTGCTGCCTTAGAAGGCAAGAACCCCCCGCACGCTGGAAACCTAACGAACTAGCTTGAGCATACATAATACAAGCTAATTTACTTTGTTATACGAAGAAATAGTTCGTAAATTACGACGTATTTTCTATGTAAGCGTATGTACGTTCTAGATATTTAACAAGCTGCTCTTCTTTGTAAGGGCCAAAATAGTTGTTGAGGTTTTCAGAGTGTAGAAAATGGTTTGTCAGCCTAAGGGGAACCAACTCGAGATAGTCAGTGTACGCCTAGGTAATCAGAGACATAACGTACTCCGACATAATCACAGAATACTTTTTTAATCGCCTTTTGCTAAACTTTGTTACCTTTTGACCACATTTCGGAGGCGGCTCCTCCCAAACTAGCTGCGGTCAAAGCCTGCCCGAGGCAGGGCATGAAAGAGTAGGGTCTTAAGAACACTGGGGCGTTGAGGGAGGCCTTTGACCGCAGCTAGACTGGTCGCAATGGCAACCCAAAGACAGCAGTATTTGATTTTCGACATGTTGACAGCTTTTTAAGGCCGGCCCTCAAATATTCTCCAAAAATCCCTAAAAATCAACAAGGTCATTTACCTTTGCTTGCAGGGAGCGGTGCTTCCAGTCATGGAAAAACATGAGGAAGACCCCCATCTTCGGCTGCATCTGCCCCACCAATCACATGAAGCGGCGGTGCGACCGGATCTTTAGCACACTCAACTACAACAGATGTGTCGGTGAGTCATTCATCCTGTTCGCGCCTTTTTTGTGACATCGCCGCCGCGTACCTCACACTAAAACACAAGGGAATATCATTGTGAATTTCTGTGTACAAACCGGTACAAACCCAATGAATTTCAGTCGAATGTCGGTGAATTCCAGACAAATTTCGATGAATTTCAGTCGAATTTCACTGAATTTCAGTCAAATTTTCATGAATGTTGATGAATTTTAATAAATTTTACATATTTTATGAATTTTGGTGTGCAAATTTGGCGGGAGTTATTTCCCCTTGCAAAAACATAAAAATGACCCGAGAGAAAATTATTGGCTGCAGATTGGCTGCAGGTTGGCTTCCTCCGGGTGCCTGACAGCGCTCGGATGGATCTCGGATGGCTGCAGACATTGGCTGGCTGTATTCGGACATACGTCAGCCAAAATCCAGCCATCTACAGCCGCTGCAGCCTCTCTGGCTGCACCTGCCAGCCACTGAAGTGTCCCTTTGGAGCCGAGTCAGCCCTGCCCCCGCTGCTCTAGGCTGCACCCCGCAGCCTACGGGATGCTCCAGGCAGCCTTCCTTCGCGGACCACGCTGCCCCCAGCAGCCACGAGGCTGCGAGGCGCTGCTCTAAGCTGCACCCCGCAGCCTTCAGGATGCCCCAGTCAGCTTTCCTTCGCCCGGGCCACGCTGCCCCCGGAAGCCCAGAGGCTGTGAGGCGCTGCTGTAGGCTGCACCCCGCAGCCTTCAGGATGCTCCAGGCAGCCTTCTTTCGCCCGGGCCACGCTGCCCCTGGCAGCTATGAAGCTGCGGGTCACAGCCACATCTCGGCTGCATCCTGCAGCTTCGTGGATGCCATCGGCAGCACCCATATCGCTACTAGGCTTCACTCCTTAGTACATGAAGGTCCCCATGACGACCTTTGAGGGTGCCTGTTACGCCCTTTAAAATTCTATGGATCCGTTCCATATCCAAATCTGCCAAGTAATTTCATCTAGGACTTTCCGTTCCCGAGATATCAAAGATAACAAAAAAGTGTCCCGATTTTTACGAAACTTGCATGGCTTATGTATGTTAACGTATTCCACTCAAATATCAGCATACCACGCACCCATTCTATTTTTTCTATTTTTTATAACCCTTTAATCAAGGAGTGCGCCTGAATACCGCCAGCATCCACCATGCTGCATCCGTAGCCTACAGCCTTTGCAGCCTATACACTGAGGGAAATGTTTTGGGGCCACACCTAAACTTACAGCTGTGACAACCAATCTGTTTGGTCGCTGGGGGTTCAATTAAACGTTCGATGGCCACATTTAAATCGTTTATCGCACTACTTTAGTTGTGAGATGTACTCTTTTTCCAACATGTCGTCTGTCTATTTTAGCCACTGCCACTGAATCAAATCTTGTTACAGTGACTGAATGCGATAAGGTCTGACGATTGACTGTTTAGTCCTGACACATAAACGTAAACCGATGAAAAAACGACTCCAAAACGAGTGTTCGAACCACGGACCTACGTGTTACGAGTCCGTCGCTCTACTAACTCGCCCACCTGGCTGACTGAGAGAGGTCGGCATTGATGGGCCTCTTGGACTGACGAATGTGTGCGGACGCACCGAGAAAATGATAGCTCGCTCCCTTTCCTGGGGTCCCAAGTGTCCCACAGTCCATCTCCTGACAGCACAATAGTATACAAAGATACTAAGCCAGGAGAAACTGGTTGCGCTACGGGGAGTTGAACCCCCGAACCCGGCTTCTTATCCAGCCTCCAGGCACGGAGACCACTGAGCTACCGCACTGTTGAGAATATGGCGGAGCGCTGGGCGATGGCAACGCGACTTCCGTGTTGAGTGTCGCATCGCCAGTGTTTCGGTGCCACACCTAAACGCTTTAGTCGCGACTACTGGCCATCGATCAAGCCTATGACTAAAGCCAGTTTAATCGAGTCCTTTCATGCTGACTATTATTGGCGGTTCAGTCACTCTCACTATTTAGCAGTCTTATTGTGATCATCGGCTGAACAGTTGCAAGGATTGAACTCGTGTAACTGTCGCCATTGGGGGGTTCCACAAAACACAGTTTTATCGTGAGGCACCGACCCCTTCTCTCAGTGTATGGCTGTATAGTCCTGCCGTAGCCCGGCTGCATCCGGCAGCCATTACGCTGCGACGCGCAGCCTACAGCCATTGCAGCCCGCCTGGCTGCGAAGTCCAGCCGCGGCCTGGCTGCCGCCAGCAGCCAACACGCTGCGACGCGCAGCCTACAGCCACTGCAGCTAAGTTGGCTGTGCGTGGCAGCGTTTATAGGCTGCTTCGGGCAGCCAAAAGGCTTCTGTGCGCAGCTTCTGAAGCGTTCCACAGCCAAAGCGCTCCGTGAAACAGCCAGACCAGCCACTGCAGCGTGTATGGCTGCAAGTCCAGGACGTCGCTATGGCTGCGACATGGCTGCAACGCAGCCACGGCAGCCATGCATACAGCCAAAAAACGGTCCATACAGCCATGCGTCAGCCAAGCGTCAGCCTATCTCCAGCCTTCTATTTTTACTCGGGGAAGGCAGCAGCAGAAGCACCTGGGACTCATGGATCCGTATCTCTTGAAACAAGTAGACTGTCCCGGATTCTCGCAGTTCGAGGCCACGGAACGCTTGCTTCATTTCCCGCAGCAGAAATAAAAACAAGAGTCAAACCGGAAAAGATGACGACGAGATATGAATCAGACGCCGTCATCCTCTCTTGACGCGCGCGGCCGAGGGGGTAACCACTCGCGTAATACCCTGAACACAAATACCGTGTATTACGCGTAATACACGTGATCGTAATACCATTTTTGGGTCAAATGTGCCAAATTTGGGCATTTTAGGGCCGTAATACACGTGTAATACACCCGTAATACAGCGTAATACCGAGTAGTCTGTACACGATTTCTTGAAGTGTTTACCCCCTCGCGCGCGGCGGTGCGACTGCATAGACACGGAAAGCAGGGATTCGTTTCTCTCTCGTTACTTGCACTGAGCCGCGCGGCTCGGAGAAGTACCTCCCGCCTCTCCACGCCCCTCCCTCCCACAGTGGGTCAGAAGACCGGTAGAGGCGGCCAAAACTTCAGACGCGATTTGTGCTCCTGAGTCGCTAAACGGGACTGGAACCGAACGTGTGACCCGAGGGGGAAATCACTCTTAAAACCTGTGACCCGACTACTCCCTATTACGTTCTATTACGCTATTACAGAAAGCTTATTACGCTCGAAAATATCCAGATTTAGGCTAAAATCGGACCATTATAGGGAAAATTCTAAGAAATTTGGCTATTGGGTGATTCCGTGCGTAGAGGGCGTTTTCGTGTCCACACCCTCCCCAGAGCGAACTTATTCGAGTGCAGTCCATTTATACACTTAAGAATCTTGTTTGGCACTAGAATAGCTTGTTCCCTTTGTAAACGGACTTTCAAAGCTAACATGTGACGCGGGAGAGGGGCCAAAAGGGTCGATTTTGTAAGTTCCGTCATGTCCATTCGCACCTTACACCAACTTTGCGGCTCTATAACCCTGCGTTCCATTCAAATCTTCGAATTCCACACACACCCATCAAATCTTTAACTAAGAGTGACTATCTTGCTTGAATTTGAAGATCGTATATTGATTGGAACTGTACTTTCAGAACGCGTACTAAATGTCCACCGTACTCCGACTTTTACCTTAGCGGTTTCAAAGTAAGCACCAAAAAAACTACTAGGAGTGCTTCCTGCTCAAAACCACCGCCGTATTCAGAATCAGCACGGTCTGTTTACCATGTGAACGAATTTCGGTGGCGAAAAAGTGAGGGGGGTGAGTGTGAGAGTGGAAGTAGTGTGTGAAATCGGTGGGTTGTAACAATTGGTGTAATTTCCGTATGCCCCTCTCGCTCCTCGTCTATTGGGTTTTGAAAGACATCCTACACTTGAAAAGATGTGTCTTGACGTCGAACTAGTGTGCCAAACTTATGGCATATTTCTGTGGCGATATGCAGTTGCAGTGAGCCAGAAACACCTGTTTGTAATTTCCGTCAAGCGTAATTTCCGTCATATTTTCAGTTAATTTCGTCATATTTCATAGGGGGAGAAAACGAAAGTCAAATTTTAGCTCGCCCACGCTCAGAGTGTCTTCCTGGGGTTCAATTGATGCCATCTAGGCCTAATTCCGGCCGAACAAGCAAGATTGATTACTTGACTTTCTTAGGTGGCTAAAACGGCCCCTACGCACGGAATCACCCTATTACGCTATTACTATTACGCGTAATACTAGGAATCGGTGACCCGACTATTACGCGAGTGATTTCCCCCTCGGTGTGACCCCACCAATGGATTGCTCTCCGTAAGACGAATCCATTGGTGGGGTCACACGTCGGGTTTGAGTATCGTTTACTGACCCTGTAGCTCAAAACGCGTCTAGAATTTTGGCCTCCTCCATCGGTCTTCTGGCCCACTGTGCGCCCTCCCCCACCCACCGCGCCCACTCACTGCCCCAACCGTTTTCCCTTATTCCCCCACCCGCTCACCTAGACAGCAATTTCTCCCGCCGCTCCCCTTTGCTGCAAACCGAATTTACCGGCAACGGCACAACGCGGGCCTGCCCGGCCTCCGCGCGCGGTGCGATGTAAGTTTCGCCCGCAAAATGGCCCATTTACGGACCCCGCGACTCTCAAAGGACGTCCCGCCAAAAAAAAAAAAAGATGACAGGAACACAAGGACTTTTTGCACCTTGTCTAAGATCCAGAAACAACAGACCGGTGCAGGCGGCTGAAATTCCAGACGCGTTTTGAGCTCCAGAGTCGCTAGACAGGACTCAAGCCGATCGTGTGACCCCACCAATGGACTCCTCGTTCGGAGAGCAATCCATTGGTAGGGTCACACGTTCTGTTCGAGTCTCGTTTGCGACTCTGGTGCTCAAAACGCGTCTCGCGTTTTGGCCGCTTCCGGTCTTCTGGCCCACTGTGCGGCGCGCTGTGCCTGGGCAACCAGTAAACTGCCGGCCGAGCGCGCCACT